GGGGGGGGATGGTGGTGAGCTTTCTGGTTCAGTGTTTACTGAGAAAGACCTCCTGGGATGGTGGGCATGACAGGGGCCAATGTAGGTTGTGCTAAGGGTCTCCTCTGCCTTACTGAAAGGGTGACTGCAGGAGGCCTAGATACAGCTACGTCTTTTATTCTAGACAGTTATATGTGTCTTTGATCAGTGTACACAAGTACCTAGTGGAGTACCCGGCACACAGCATGCACTCACTAAATTGTTAATGAGTCAATGGATGAGTGAATAAATATTAGTTTGTGAGAGCTTGTCTCCTTCGTGGGTTTGGTTCCCACTCTGTTTCTTAAACAGGGGCCCCTTGGGAATGGGAATTAGCCCAAAGATCCATGGAACCCCCTACTTGCTCAGCTCTATGCACCTTCAGGTCATTCCCAAAAGCAAGTTCGTCTTGGTGAAGTTCGACACCCAGTACCCCTACGGTGAGAAGCAGGATGAGTTCAAGCGTCTGGCTGAAAACTCGGCCTCCAGCGATGATCTCTTGGTGGCAGAGGTGGGGATCTCAGGTATGGACAAGTCCAGGACAACTGGGGAGGGTAGAGACAGAGGACGCTAGGAATGAATTCCCTAATTGCCCCTAGTATAGGGGTACTCCCCAGTGCCTTTCTGTCATAGCCACCCATGAGGAGCGTGAACGGGCTCACGGTCTCTCAAGGAGTCGGGTGCCCATGGCAAGCTTAGCCTGAGCGGATCCTAGGAGCACAGAACCTCAACTCAGCCTTGTGGGTGTTGAAGGGGAGGGAACCCCTTGTCCCTCCCCTTCCACCCCAGCCCAACATTTAATTTACAGCGACAACTCTGATCCCTCTTTGCAGGGGACCAGGTCAGAGGGGGTGCCACGTCTCCTGGACGACCCTATAGTTAGCGCTTCCATCTTCATTTCAGCTTTTGTGCCAAAACTATTGAGGTTTTGGCTTTAGTTCAAATCCACTAATCCAAAAGCAACTCTCAATCACGATGACAACTTTAATAATACTAGTTGCCAGTATTTATTTAGTAGCTGGTAGTCCGTAAAGCTTTGCATAGACATTGCATTTTTAACCTTCACTTGAGCCCCACCTGAGAAGTTAGACACAGTATCTCTGTGTTATACTTGAGGAAAAGTGAAACTCAAGGAGTTTCAAGGACTTGTCTTGGATTGTAAGGTAGGAGTGGCTTATCCAGAATGCCACCTGAGTGTTTATTCCCTAGTGCAGTGGGTTCTCATCAAGCTCAGCTTCCTCCCAGCTAGGATGCCTCAGGTCCCAAGTGAGCTCGACAGTTGACCCTGGCGCACATCTCCAGGGCAGTCAGTCCATTTTGACTCAACTCCCTTGGGACTTTTAGGATAATAGTAATAATAGTAATAATTTTCTAACATTTATCAGATGTTTTACTGTGTGCCAGGTCACTGCTAAGTGTGTTTTTTTGTTGTTGTTTGTTTTTAACATACGTTTCATTCTGTGACAACTGTCAAGGAAGTACTACGGTACTATTACCCCCGTTTTTCAAATGAAGAAACTGATAGAGTAACTTGCTCAAGATTGCAGAGCTGTTAAGTGGCAGAACTAGGACTGGAACCCCACCTCCTAGACAGTAATTGGTGGTCTCTTCCATTACTGGCTTAAGAAACCAGTCTTCACAGCGTCAGCCCTTGGGACTGCTACTGCCAGTTAGGAAGGAGGCAGCAAACATTAACAGCTACCAGGTATTAAGCACTTAACTCTGTGCTGGGTCTCATGCCCGTGTTCCCCCAGTGGGTCCTCCTGCCATTTTTGTGTGGCAGAGACCATGTTCATTACTTCGTCATGTTGCCCCTTCTCACTAAGCTCCAGCCAGATTGGCCTTTCTAACCCTTAAATATGCCGAGCTCGTTCCTGCCTTGGAGGTTTTGCACTTGCAGTCCTTTCTGCTTGAGACACTTCCCTGATCTTCATGTGGCTGGCTCCTTGACATTCAGGTCCCTCACCTCATGTCATCTCCACAGCAAGGACCTCCATGAACACCTGAAGTGGCCTTCTTACCTGGTTATCGTCACGTGACACTGTTTTATTTTCATCGTAGCACTAATGCCTTTTGTTCATTTGTTCACTTTCTCTCTTCTCACTCTTAGACTATAAGCTCCTTGATGGCAGGGAGCTTGATGCTCTATCACAAACTAGATCCGTAGAACCTAGAACAGTATCTGGTACATAGTGGGCATATAGTAGGTATTCAGAAGAATCCTCATTTTGCAGATTAGGAAAGTGAAGTTCAGAGAGGCTAACCACTTAACAAAAGCCACATGGCTAGGAAGTGGCAGAGGAGGGATTCAAACCAAGGTCTGTGTGGGCAGTCCTCACTCTGAACTGATACACAGCCAAGATTCTTCTTCCCCTTAGCTCAGATAGGCCCTATAGCAATTTCCTGCCCTAGGTCCCCCATGGTCTTGCTTCTCATCTCCGGTTTCTGTTCACAGATTATGGTGACAAGTTGAACATGGAGCTGAGTGAGAAATACAAGCTGGACAAAGATAACTACCCAGTCTTCTACCTCTTCCGGGATGGGGACTTTGAGAACCCGGTCGTGTATAGCGGGACAGTTAAGTTTGGAGCCATCCAGCGCTGGCTGAAGGGGCAGGGGGTCTACCTAGGTATGCCTGGTTGCCTGCCTGCCTATGACACCCTGGCTGGGGAGTTCATCAAGGCCTCTGGCAAGGAGGCACGCCAGGCCCTGCTGAAGCAGGGGCAGGATACCCTCGCAAATGTGAAGGAGACTGAGAAGAAGTGGGCAGAGCAGTACTTGAAGATCATGGGGAAGGTCTTAGACCAAGGTGAGGACTTCCCAGCATCAGAGATAACCCGGATCACCAAGCTGATTGAGAAGAACAAGATGAGCGATGGGAAGAAGGAGGAACTCCAGAAGAGCTTGAACATCCTGACTGCCTTCCAGAAGAAGGGGGCAGAGAAGGTGGAGCTGTGAAAAGACACTGCAGGGATTGGCTGGGTTGGGAGGGGAGAGTTACTTGCTGGCTGTGAGACCCCTGAGGGGTATAAGGGGGTAGTGGAAGAGATGGTACTTGACCTGAAGCATGAGCCCTGGGTATGCCTGGACATGGATATAGCTGTCCTTGGGACATCTCTGTTGCAGGTCTGGGAATAGCTGGAGAACCTACTCAGCTGGCTTGTAAAATGCCCCAAGAAGGAATTGGTGCTGTAAAGAAGAGTATACTGCCCAGGTCCCTGACAAGTGTAATTCTGGTCCAATTAAAGTTTCAGTCTTTTGGTTAAGTGGATCTGAAGCCGCTTGGTTTTCTTTTTCAAATGATACTTTAGATTGTGACCTGCTTTTCTCTTTGAATTTATTTTTCAATCTAAGCTGACACGGACTCCACTCTACTAGGGTAGACCCTATGGGGCAGTTCTACTCTGTCCTGCAGGATTGCTATGAGTCAGAATTGACTCGATGGCAATGGGTTTGGTTTGTTGGGCTACCAGAATAACAAACTATTCTGGTAACACTCTGGAAAGCTGTCCCAGCTCAGGATCTACCTTTATTATTTTCCACTGGTGTTCAGACTTGAGTGGATGGATTGTGGGTGCTAAAATTGCTCACCGTCCACCAGAGGCTCTTTGTATCTAATATTTTCCATTAAAGATGGGCTCTCTGCATATGCCACATAAAATCACTTACCTCAGGTCAGATAGATTCCTTCCCTCTATGTCCTAGCTTCTAAAATTAATACTGTGGCTCATGTGCTATTCAGACTGTTGTGAAGATTATGGACTGGCTTCCCAGAACTGAACAAACATATAAAATTTTAGGGGAATTTCCAAATAACCAGAAGCAAAGCAGACTCTGGATCCAACATGATCCAGGAACTTGCAAATTATCGCCAGTGGTACCAACAGTAATTTTAATTCACAAATGTTAGCTGCTGTCCAGTTGGCTCTGATGGCGACCCCATGTTCAACAGAATGAAATGTTGCCTGGTTCTGTGCCATCTTCATGATCATTGGCACGTCTGAGTTCATGTGTTGCAGCCATTGTATAGTGCCTGCTAATCTAGGGGGCTCATCTTCCATCCCTATATTGGACAATAATCTGTTGTGCTCCATAGGATTCTCACTGGCTAATTTTCAGAAGTAGATTCCCAGGCCTTTCTTGCTAGTCCGCCTTAGTCTGGAAGCTCTGCTGAAACCTGTCCACCATGGGTGATTCTGCTGGTATTTGAAATAACCCGTGGCATAGCTTCCAGCATCGTAGCAACACACAAGCCATCACAATACAACAAACTGTGGTGGGATTTACAAATAGTCCTTGATAATTGGTACCACAAAAAAAAAAAAAATGTTGGAATAGCATCAGGGAGATTGATGATTCAATAGAGAACCAAGATAGAATCTGGGGATCTGAACATGGCCATCAAGACTGTGGGATGGTGTGGGAAGACCTGGATTTTAGTTCATTCCATGAGTGCTTAAAGAGTTTGACCCTTATGCAGGAGACTTGGATCCCAACCCTTACACAACTGGGTGGACTCCTAGGTAGCCCCATCTGCAATAACTACTGTCCTCTTGTATGTGAAAACAGTACACTACCTGGGTCCTCACCCACATTACTGGGATATATGGCAGCTCGAACTTACAGAGAGGTTCTGTGCTCTTCAAGCACACACTGCTGTAAGAACCCCACAGATCATTTTCATAAGAATTCGGCTCATGGTAGCGTGCCCTCTGCTCATCTCTATGAAATACATGTCTGCATCCAGGCAGTGACAGCACCTGAAAACAGGCAACGTCAAAATAAAATCCTGACCCTATCCTTTGGGGAAAGTTAGGAATGGCGGTGCGGTATAAAAGGTACTCACTCACCTTTTGTTAAGGGAAAAAAAAATGTTGGGATGGAGTTAATTCATAAGTGAAGGAGCAGGCTAAGATTGACTTTTTCCAGAGCTTAAATAAAAGGATTTAACATGACAGGAGAAAGAAACTAGGAGAGGAAAAACAAACTGCTCTTCTTTTTGCTATACTGCCAATGTGTCTGAGTAAACTCTGAATCTCAGCCTGTGGGTTCAGGCACCCTGGGATGGTTCATGTTATCAGCCTGCCTCGAATCCTCCAGTAACTTCCCACGAAATTTAGAAAAAAATCTCATTCCTTCCCCTGGCTACAAGGTCCTGACTGGTCCGATCCCACACTATACCTCCTATCTCAATCTCTACCACTCTCTTCTCCCTTCATTATGCCCCAGCCACTTGATCCTTTCTGTCAGTAGCTGGAACATGCTGAGCAGTGTCCTGCCTTGGGGCCTCTGGGCTTGCTTACTTTTGTCCATGGCTGACTCCACATCCTGCAGGTCAGAACTCAACACTTAAGAGACCTTCTAACCTAGTCTAAAGTGACCCTCTAGACACAAACTAAGGTGCTCTGGTGGGGCAATGGTAAGTGCTCAAGGTTGGCAGTTTGAACCTAGCCAGCAGTTCGAACTCACCCAGTAGCTCTGCAGGAGAAAGACCTAGCAATCTGCTCCCATAAAGATTACAGCCTAGGAAACCCTATGGGGCAGTTCTACTCTGTCACATGGGGTCGCTATGAATCGGAATCAACTTGAAGGCAACCAACAACAACAGGCATGCTGTCACACACCCTGGTTTACTTTCTTAAACAGATAGGACTTCATTACAACCTAATAATTTTTATCATCTCTCCTCTACCTCTCTGGCACCACATCAGGTCTCATTCACCATTGTATCAGCAGAGATCTGGCACAAAGTGAATGCTCAATACATATCTGTTGAATTAATGAAGGCTAGTAGGCAAGGGAAGGCACCCTGGTGGCACAGTAGTTAAAGTGCTCGGCTGCTATCCGAAAGGTTGCCGTTCAAACCTACCAGCCGCTCCGCAGGAGAAAGATGTGGCAGTCTGCTTCCATAAAGATTACAGCCTTGGAAATCCTATGGGGCAGTTCTACTCTGTCCTATAGGGTTGCTAGGAGCTGGAATTGACTCAGTGGCAGTGGGTTTTTGTTTTTTTTTTAGTGTACAAGAGACGACTTTTAAACAAAAAAGACTGGTGCCCTTGGAATGAAAAATTCAAATTCACAACTACTAAAATTTTGTTGGGGATATAGCACTCAATTAAAAATAGAGATGAATTATGCCATTTAGTAGGTTGTGGCTTCTAAAAATCTGAACAAAAACGAACCAGGCAGAAATGCCAACTCAAAATGAAACTTTATATAAATTAACCCATCCAGTTTATGCTTCACTTAATTCTGAAGAAGGAAGAATATATAATAATTAGGAAGAGTTTCAATAACAAGGCCATAGATAACATTGAAACCCCTTTTTATATTAAAAGTTAAAATGAAAGACAAATCCAGATTGAACATAGTGACTGCAAAATATAATGCAATTTTGAAGAATTAAAATTATGAAAATATACAAAATTGATGGGCAACACAGCTAGGCATTTGTACATTTTCCATGTGGAGAACACTAAAAATGTCTCTACCTTTTATCCACATCAGATAAATGATCTAAACCAAATATTTGCTTTGGAGAATCTTAACTTAGGATCTCAGTAGTATAAAAAGCAGTAATTTTTCAGTCTGTAAACAGTAGTTGTGTTTTTTCTCTTTGCTTTTTTTTTTTTTTTTAAATATCAATCTATCACACAAAAAAAAAAAAACCCACACAAACAAACAAACAAAAAAAAAAACAGCAGCAGCAGCAATGGGTTATTTGGGAATTACCTTCAAATACCAATGACATACGATTGCTGGGAGAGGGTCCTTTTTACTCATGTAAGAATATATATATATATATTTAACTGTACACAATTTATAGTGCATGACAGTTTCCAAAAGAACAGATCCATAAAAGATATTGGCCATTTCTGCATAATTTCATTCTTTACAATTATCTCAAAATGTAAGAGGTTGGATCTAACTGAAATGCTACATTTAGTAGGAAAATCAGCAAGTAACAAAGGAAGCATACCTCGACGTAACATTATTTGTCATTAAAACCAGTAGAAGTCCCAGATGCCAACAGGCAGGAGACTGGTTAGGTAGACCACTGGCGTCACACACTGTCCCTGAGGACCAAAGCCAGCCCACGGAGCACACACATACTAGATCGATCATGGTCAGTTGATAGACTTGTTTCAGAGAATACAGTATTTCTATGTACAGTACTTTCTGGGATATTCAAAGAAACATCATTTCAAGAACACATGCCATACACACATACACACACACACTCATACTCATACACACACACACACACACACAAAGTTCCATCTAAATAGGCCATAGTTTTATGAGATAATGGTATGTTGCCATTAAATTATATTCAGAATCAGGTAGAATTTTCAATTCATCTTGTTCAAGACAGTTCCTCCTTTGGAATGGGGTATGTGACAGCTGTGGCTACCAGTTAACAGCAAAACTACTCGTTTTAATTACTTGTTGAACCAAGATTTCCAACAAGTCTTATTTTGAACATTTTTTTTTAAATTTCCTTGGAAGTCTAAACAATTATTAATTACCATATCAAATTGTGAATCTAAGAAAGCCAAGATGAGGGGACAAAATGCAATTGCTTTGCATGCAGAGATTTTCAAGCTCTCTTCTGACTGCTTTTAAAAGAAAACACTGCATTTCATTGGAGCAGTGAGTTGGGAAAGGACTTCTAAGGTCTTCAAGACCAGTCCTCCATTAGATGCTTGAATTTCCTCATCAAATTCATTTCTTTGCTCTTACAGAATTACTTTAACCAAAATTTGGGTAACAAAATCCAAAAATGGAAGGGGGGATTCAAACACAAAAAAGTTATGAAAGCAACTGTATAAATCATGTAACATTTTCAAGAGCAATCTGTATTTTTTCTCTTAGACCAACCTCTGAAACTAGAGTCTTGTGACCTCTAAATAAGCAAAGTAAACGCCACCCTGGTGTAATTCTCAAATTTGAAGAAAGGAGACTGAGCCTCAAACCCATAGGATGACATTTCTTTTGCCAACCCAAAACTTAAAACCTAAGTCCATAATACACACTCCTTCCTACCCAAACCCCTTAGTTAAAAACACTAAAGTACTAAATCTTAATTTTTAAGTGTGTGGGTATATATACACACATATACACACACACACACGTATATATGTATATGCACATACATATATAATTCATAAATCAATTGCAGTATATGGCTCAAGAAACCAATGAAATCAGTATCATACTTGCCTGCATAAATTACGTACACCTCTCTTCTTTAAAGAAGTGATTCCCATCTTTCCCAAATGGACAAACGACAGCAGGCTAGTCCTCAACAGGCTCACAAGTGCACTGCTTTCTCCTCTGAACAGCTGTAAGTTAACAGAAGCCTGTCTTGCTGCCCTATCCCTGCTTTAACTCTCACAGGAACTAGGATGGGGACATCTTGGCTACCAGGACTATCAAGCCACAAATGAGCGCCTGTGGTCGTCTGGGTGGTGTCTTCAGCAGCAGGTGCCCATGGCCTCAAACAGTGTACTTAACGCCAAATCTCACCCTGAGGCCCTTTGTGCGCCTGCCTTGGGCTCTGGGGAAGCCAAGCAGCTGAGGAAAGCTTCAAAACTAACCTGTTCCTATGGAAAGAGGGCCTACTCCCAGTCATGGTCCCCCTCTACATCCTGCTTTCTGTTTCCTCAAACTCGAAGGCCAGACAAAACTCCCACTGCTATAATGGAAAGGCCATCCAGCTGCTCTGAGGCTGATGCTTTATGTTTAACTTCTATTGCTGCTTTTATAGGGTCCCCCGCCTCCAGATGTTTCTGGTGATGGGAGGGAAGAAGAAAAGTGGGGTTCTCTTGTGGCTGACATATGCACATGAACATTTATAAAAAGTGGTAAAACCCACATGAGGGTCCTGTTTCTGGTTTATATACAATAATTTAATCAGCTGTATGTATTAATACCTAAAAAAATTAATTCACAATCAAAGTCCTTCATGCATTTTATGAGGAAGTTCTGGATTAAAATGATGGTCAACCAGATGTAGCTTTTGCCTGGAAAGATGGTGTCACTCTCTGTTGTGCAGTCATCAATGCCTGTGGTTCACACTTCCTTAAATTTTTATCTTCTTTGTGGTCTCAAGTCTTTTTTTCAGCAGCTCCCCAATTTCCAGAAGTGAGTGCAGATAACTGTTCTGTACCTTCCCTTGCACAGTCTTTGAAAATTTTCTTTCTTCCTAAAAAGGAGACAGAAGAATTAGTGCTCAGAAATTATTCCCAGTTCCTCAGTTAAAAGTTAAAATTACCATTATCTTTGGTCTCACTGCAAATATTCATTCAGAATAGTTATTTTCAGCTTCATAAAATTTTTCCATGTTATTTTTCAATGAGGCTCCGTCACTCTGCATCATTATTCTTCCAAGTAACCTTTATTATGTTATATAAAGTAGAAAAACTGAGATTTTTGATCCCTCGTTTTCATCAAGAAAAAAGGTAGAAAAGTGTTACTAAGTAGTTCAAACATTAAGTCACTACTTTGTTATAAGGTGTACAAAGTGAAAAAAGAAATTGAGGTTTCTGATTATTAGTTTCCATAGAAAAGAAAGCAGAGATTTATTACTTACTTATTTGGACATCATCACAGTCACTTATTAAAGTCATCAAATTTACCAACTTCATCTTTTCCAGCTACAATATTGGCAGGTCTCCCTCCATACTAACAAAATCCATGGATTCAAGAGGCCAAACAATTTTTAAAAAGACCAAAGCTTTGTTGCCTACTCAAATATGTGAGTTAAATATTTACTGCCATATTTGACCTGTGGTAGAAACCACAAAAAATAAAAAAGAGGGAGTATTCAAACATAGAAGGGAGGTTGGCTGGGAACTGGTTAGGTTTACATGAAACTGGCAGCACTGCACAGTCCAGGACTGCAGTGAGACACCCAGTGAGCACATATTATGATCCAACGATACTACTGCTTGAGAGCTAATCTTCCTAGAAAACAATATGTGCGTTAGAAGGTATGTGCAAATACATTCCACGCACTACTGTTTGTACAGACTGTATGTAAAAAATATATGTGTGCATAAGAAGGTATGTGCGAATACATTCCAAGCAGTACTATAAGTAAAAGCAAATATATAGAAACAACCTAAAATGTCCAACTGCTGTGGTGTATTCCTATTTTTAATACTATACAGCTGTTGAAAAGAACTAGGGTGATCTATGCATCTACCTAAACAGACCTCTTGAATATAAGATGGGGGGGTGGATGAAGCTACAGAATTTAAGAATACATCATTTACTTTTTTAAAATTAAAAAATAATACTGTGTATTTTCTTTCTGAGTGTTAAGTGCTCAGAAAAAGGTTTCAACACATAACCAATTTTCAGTGGATACCTCTTGATTGGAGGGCCTTATTCACAGTGTTTCAAATTTAGCAACACAAGGAAATAAAAAAGGGATGAACCTAATGGAAACTGAGTTAGGGCAAGTGAGATTTTGTTTTACCCAAAAGATGAATACCCAGCACTACATGGATCCTCCATGAGTCAGAGCTGACTCTACAGCAACAAACAACAGCAGCAACTGCTTTCTTTAGTCTTCACTATAATCCTGTGAAGTATTGTTATGATCTCCATTTTATAGGTAAAGAAACTGAGACCCAGAGAGGTTAAGTGACTCTCCCAAAAACAAACACAGGTAGAGCCAGGGCTTCTTATGATAATACAAAAATTATTATTTTCATAATATTATTATTTCACAAATAATACTCCAGAGAGTAATACAAAGTTAGGGGATAACCTCTCAAATGCTCAAAATGAGAAATCCTACTCCACATTTCAGAAAGCAGACAGATCTTGTAACGAGAACTACCACTCAGCTGTCACAACACTAGCCCATCACCCTCTGTCTGACAGTCCTTCCCACATACCACATGCTCTGGCTCTGTGACTGACTCACAGCACCCCACACAACTCACTTTCCTGCCTCTGTGCTTCTGTACCTCCCTCTGCTCGGGATTCCTTTTCTCCATTCCCGTCTGCCTGGTGAAAACGTAATCCTCAATATATTCCCACTTAGCCCAACACTCAACAAGAGTGAACTCAATAAGTAGCTACTTACTGAAAATCTCCAAGATTCCCAGCAAAGCTCAACCACACGAAGCAATGTGACACTCATTCAAGTTTACGGTCGTTAAGATTCCTTGTTTGTTGTTTTTAACAGGTACTATACTTTTGAGTTTTCGTTTTTCTATAGTATTCATAAAAGGGGATGAGGTTTGGAGTAGCAAATGAGTTTGGCTTTGGTCTAAAAGGTAAAAAGCTAAACAGCTCCAAGTCTACTACTATAAATTACCAGATTTCTTTTTATGTAAAAGTGTTACAAGATGAGCAAGTGTCTCTCCTTTTAAAGTGGACTGCAAGTGGGAAGCAGAAGGCGGGAATCCTAGGACGTCCTTATTTCTCAAGGACTCAATTACTGGCCCTTTACGGGGTACCAAGTGCCAGGAAGTCATAAAGGCTAATGGCAGGTACAAAATGTTACAGGAATACAGAAAAAGAGGTAGGGAGATACAGAGGGGCCAGGCAGGGTTATGAACGCAGCCTTGAAGAGTAAGAAGGATTGACAAGTAAAGGCTAATTTAGAGTTGGAAGGAAAGAAAATTGAGGGCAAAGAGTCTTCCTGTCTGATGGGCTACATTTTCTCCATGTACTAGAAAACCAAATTACATGGTGGGGTCTGTTAAGATAGCTGTTTGGGGATCTGTTCTCATATGTGGTCTTAGAGAATTCTAATCTTTATCACCAATAAACAGCTTTTTAATCAATGATTTTCTCAATTATTAAGAAGAGACGCATTTGACATAAACAATTCCATCTTTCTGGATGGTGGGATAAAGACTGATTTAGGGATGGTAACTGGGAGATGCTATTCTCTACTTTCTAATTCTTCTGTAATGAACATATATTTTGCGTGCAATGAAATGCTACAGAGCTGTTAAAAAGAATAAGGTAAGTACTCATATGTAATAATCTCTTAGATATTAAATGCAAGAAGCAAGAGACAAAACAATGTGTTTAGCATGCTGTCATTGGTATCTAAACGCAGGGGATAGGAGGCAGGGAGATACAGAGACATACAGGCTTGTACATGGATTATCAGCAAGACTGTACCAGAAACCATTGGTAACAGTGGTTCCTCCTTGGAAAGGGAACTAGGGAACTGGGGTTAGGAAACAAGAAAGACATTTCATTCTATCTTCTTTCTTACTCTTCAATTTTTTTTTTTTAACCATGTGCATATTTTACCTTTTCTAAACAATGTAATGCTTTAAAAAAAGAGAAAATATTAAAAAATTAAGTAATCCATCAATTAGTACTTCTCATCATCACTAAAGTCTGTATTTATTCTAATGTAAGTAGGAAAATAGCTGAATATAGTGCTTAACTGGTGAAAACCAAACTTCATGTATGAACACACGTCTGCTTTTCCCTGCATCTTAAAAGCATGGTGGGTTTCCTCTGGTGCTCAAAACAGGGACGGTACTACTTCTACCAATTCATCATGTTGGCATTAGTTTTCCTAGTAAAAGAATAACCCCAAAAATGTATAGAAATGAGAGGGAAATGGGGTCAGACCACCACCACCAACAGCAAACAAAACTACTGCCAGGTACCTTCCAATTACAAGTCCTATAAGGAGAGAATGACAGAACTGAAAATTAACTTGTCCTTGTGACAGAGATAACAGCATCTGAGTATCTATATAAAACTTATTGCCGCTCATATACAATCTCTTACCGGTGAGAAAGAAGTGTCTTCTAAAATAAGTTCTTCAAGTTTAAATGCAATTAGATGTGTTTCAAGCCCTTTAATATGATCCACAACATTGGAAATTAAAGTTTGAAGCCCAGTAACATAGTCTTGGAAACTGGTAAAGACAGGTGGCTGGGGAAAAGATTTTTAAAAAAATGTTGAAAGATTATTAATATTTCCTGTGCTTACATCACTTAAGCTATGCCAATAACTTCATGCTATAGCATTACTTAAGGCTGGCAACAATAACACAGATGGATACAGTTTTGGATATTAAGACAGTCTCTCAAACCAAAGTTAAGTTAACTGACAACAAAAACTGCTAACTCAGCAATGATGATAACCCAGCTGGTCATCATGATGTTTTTTAAATATGAAAAACCAACAGAAACGGAAAATGAGCAATCATTAGTAAATATCTTAACTGGCCATTACTCAACTTAGGGCTGGAAATCGCCTGGAACACGAAAGGAGGGGAGAGGAACAAATACTTTATTTTACTCTCCTCATGTCTTTGAGTCAATCTTCTATGTTAATAGGGGATACAAACTGAACATTCTAAGTTCAAACAGAAATATTAATGGGAGGAATTCGTCCTAACAGATACGAGAGTACAGCAGAAATTACGGTAACACTGGGTGGTGCTGGTATATAAGTAAACTGATAATGTGAAAGGAAACAAGTCCTGAAATGGACCTAAGGTCCTATGGGAATTTAAAGGGTGGCATTTCAAAACAGGTTTCAAGTGGATGAATGGATGAATGATGCTGGCATAACTACCTAGACATTTGGAAAAAATAATACCAGCTCACTATCCTCATTCCTTATATGAAAATTAATTCCAGATAGGTTAAATACTTAGAAATAAAATAATCCATCAAAGTACCAGAAGAAAACGCAGGTGATGACTTCTGTGATAATGAGCCGGAAAGGCCTGTACACGACACTATGCTATAAAAACCATTACCTTGTTCTTAAAAAAATTACTACATGACCAAAGCAGGGGTAGGCACAAAAGTTAAGACGAGTGACAAAACTAAAAAAACAGGCATCATATGTGATAGAGAATTAATAATACTATGATGTTAAGAACTCAGAACATATCCAGGTATCACTGCCACTACAGGCAACTTGGGCAAAGACAAGAACAGAAAATATATTGAAGAAATCCAAGAACCATACGACACAATTTTTTTTAAAAGCCATATAAACATAAGGAAGAAAACTAGCCAATCAAGGCTCTCTTTTCCCTCAGGAAGTCTTTGTCTTCTGTGAAGTTTCAACATCAATAAAAATCAAGAAAATGCCCGTTAGAAAAAGGGGATATCAATGTTTGCCTATCAGATGGGCAAAGGGTACAGGCACACTCAACACTGCTGGGGATGGGGGGTGTAAATTGGTATGATCTGTCTACACGACGAACTGCTCAATATGTATCAAAAGCCTTAGAAATGTATACAGACTAATTTTAATTCTAAGAGGTATCCTAAGGAAATCATAAATTCATCTTGGTGAATATGTCCATATTTTAGTAGCAGCACTATTTATCATATTTAAAAAATCAGAACCAATCAAATATTCATCAATAGGAATAAATTATGGTATATTAATACAATATGATGGTATATAGCCATTAAAAGTAATGAGCTAGAGTTATATTTACTGACATGAAGAGATGTCCAAGACACCCTATACGGAAAAACAAAAAAACAACTAAGAAAAGGCAAGTTGCAGAACCTTCTAAATAGCAAAACCCTGATTTGTTAAATACTAAAATGTTAGCAGTGGTTATTGCTGGTTGGTAAAACATGAGGAATCTTCACCTTATTCACACCTTTGTGGGTTACTTTGATAATCAGAAAAACAGGAAGGTCGTTCTCATGTTTGGAAGTTAGAAAAACAAACAACAACAACAAAAACGCACACTCAAAATCCAAATACCAGAAAGCTACCTGACAAGCTCTAGGATTGCAGGCTGTCATTAGAAGGGAGAGCAACTCGGATATACACCTTCAAACTTTACACTCATGATCTGTTCAATTTTTCTGACCAGAGAAAGTAAAAGGGAAATGTCCCTTATTTAGTCTCTCATCCAAATCTAAGCACCCTTTGTTTTTAAATGAATGGTAGCATTCAGCACAATGTCTAATCTAGAGAAAACCTCAATTGTTACTAAACTGAATTGTTAGGAAGTCAATTTTACTACTAAAACCATCAACATCTGCAAATGACAATAGTTACTACGTTGCTATAGCGGGCAAAAATTCAGCATTAATAATGATAGGATAAACTCAAACAATAATAAAACAGCTTGTCATGTGCTATAATGAATCCTAAATAACCTTCCTTGTGAAAATGATAAATTATGTTAATATTCTACACATTCAAAAATTAAATAAAGATGGGGCAATGTTAAAATTAAATACAAACAGAAATAAATGAACCTTATTTACATCACATTGATAACACAATGTGTTTTTAAATCCAGTGTTTTTACACAGTACATTACGCAAAATATACACAGTATATTCCCAGGTATATTCACTGGAATATAAAGACTAAAGAAAAACTGCAAAAAATTTGAACTTTGTTTAGTGAGTTTATTATAGGAACTAGCAGTGGAACTGATATAGTGATTCGAAAACTATTCAGCATGTATTGTTAAAAGACGGCAAATGAGTAAATATATTGAAGGTGCTGGGCATCAGGGTCCTCACTCTGAGAAAATTAAGCTACAAACATGGAATGAGGGAAGGAGTGGAAGGGAAGAACACTGTGATGTTAGGCTGAAATTGGAAGTATCAGTAAGAATTCATGCGTGCATGTGTGTGTAAATAAATTCTGTAGCTCTCACCCCTGAAATGACCTATAAGCCATGAAACCCCAATAGCAAGGAGCACATCTAACACCCAGATCTTGGTTTCAAAATACCATCCCCCAGAAAAGGAACGAGGGCTCAATGGAAAAATATGTCTGGTTTCGGGTCACCAGGAAGGAAAGTACAAATACTTGGAGCATTCTGGTTGTTCTAGACAATAAGGGCTCAAAAGCTGATGAGGACATGTTAAAGGAGAGAAACCAGCTTCAAGTGGCTCCCAGCAGCAAAATTTGGGTCAATTTGAGCATTCAGAAGAAAATAATGACTTATAATAAAGTAAATTTAAAAAATGAGCCCATAGAGATACTCAAATAAACCAATAGTGATTTTAAAATATATACATTTTTTTTTACACATTTAAAAAAATATATGAATGAAAGTGGATGGGAATGCCCTATTTTACAGAACAATGCCAGCTAATAAACAATAAAGGATTGCTAGAACTAGAAAATCACCATTTTGGACCCATCGACGTAATAAGTGATTCAATGGATACTAAAACCACTGGGTGAAAGGCTGGTGGGGAATAGGATACTCACAGTCTCAAAGCATCACCCCACGGATTACTTATTACTTACAGAGGGAAGACTTTTACAATGAAGAAATCTAGTAGACACTTCCTTAACTAAAAAAAAAAGAAAGAAAAAGCTGGGGCAGGCAGGAGGCTGGAGAATGTACACTAGGATCTGAAGGACTCTTGCAACATGCAGGAAAACGGGCAAAAGAAAAAGCAGTAGCTGCCAGACTAATACTTGTGTTTTTCTGTTATTACCATGATGATGCTGGTTTCTTTTTTCTTCTTTTTCTTCTTCTGCAAATTTAATTTGTATGGTCGCAGGACACTCTCACAGTAACTGGATACCCAAAGAATAATAGAAATAGTCTGAAAGGGAAAATTGCAAATTCGTCAATCAGGATTATACTAGAGATACCGCTCATGAACAGTTAAAGGCAATGTATTAGAGAGAGAAATTCTGTCAGTTGTTCTATGCAAATCCTTTCAATTTCTCTGCCAAATCCATCCTCCACTCTCCCATTTCTACAGTCACCACACTGATTTGGGCCTTCCTTAATCTCTTGCTCAGAATATTGTGAGAGCCTAAGTCTTTATCCTTTCTTCTGGCTCTACCAGCTCTAAATCCATCCTCCAATGCATTCCAGTTTCCTGCCACTTCCCTGTAGGAAGCAGGGAGCCATTAATATCCTTTTCACTCAGTGAAAAGTCCAAATTTCTAAGCATGGAATCCAAAGGTCCTTTACAATATGCTTCTCCCCAGCCACCTCTCCAGCCAGCTAAAATAGTGTCTCAGCTACAAACCTTACCTTGCACGTATGTGGAGAAATCTCCCCAGCTGGTTAGCACATTTCCTGCTTTGTACTTAGTTAACTGTTAACAGGTCTTCTTCTATATTGCAGTGTATGCATGTACATATATGTGCAATTATTACTCAGTCACTCACTCAGTCATACAATAATTATGTTAGGCACTTACAATGTGCCAGTCACCTGAGCAGAATATGCTGCCTTCAGCAAGCTTACAAATTAGCAGGAAAAGAAATATAAACAAACGTGGCAGAAAGGAAAGGAAAGAAATTGGATTAGCCTACTCTTTTCTTTGGCTGAAAGAGAGGAGGAAGGTTGGCTACATCAGCTCCTGGACTCTCCTCCATAATGCAGACTCTCAATTAGTGAACAACCAGGGCACATGGAAGAAGATGGAGGAATTAACTTAAAATACATGCAGAGAAGACAGCTAGATTTGGATTAATCTGGCGAAATTTAGAGATGAGTAAAGCAAATTACAAGAAGCTTTACCGAAGCATTATGAATTAAATCTTTTTGGTATTCTTTGAAGGAGTTCCTTCATAAAATGGTTTAAACTGCTTTTCAATTAAGAAAAGGTGGGTGGGGGGAAGGGGGTTAGATTACAGGTATAAGGTGCCTATTACCTGTTCATTTTTGAAAAATAAACTCTACATACAATGAAGGAAGAGAACAAAAACATACCTCAACAAAAAAGACAAGATTTTCTAAGAGAGTAGGATGTGTTTTCAAGCTACCATCTTTAACTTCTAAGAGGTCACCTTTACATTTACTGAAGACATCTGAAAACAAAAAAATGTTTTACGGTTTTATTCAGCTTTTGTTCCAATGCCATTTTTAGGAACACAATGCACAATCTAATGAAGAATAAGCAAATATAGAAGCTTAATCCAGAAAGCCTTATTTTCTTCATTTCCCACAATGAATCAAATACCAAGGGATATATATTTAAAGTTCATTTAAAAAGCCATGTGATTACTGCTCTACTGTCTTCAAAAAATAAAAGGTGGCACTAGGAATTATACATCCTAGCCCTGGTGGCATAGTGGTTAAGAGCTCGGCTGCTAACCAAAAGGTCGGCAGTTCAAATCCACCAGCCACTCCGTAGAAACCCTATGGGGCAGTTCTACACTGTCTTACAGAGTCGATATGAGTCAGAACCAACTCGACAGCAGCTAACAACAACAACACGGCCTAAAAATAAGCTACACCTTTCCACAGATAGGCTATGGGCACAATAAAATTAAGACTCCAGGTGAATGACTTAGAAGAACTTGTGCCATTATGGACTGAAAGACCAAATTGCATTGCAGGAATGCATCTTCGTAACAGATACCACGTTTTATATGGTAATCTTGATCATCTGTTAATTCTCAGGTATTCTTCATTTGGGTAATAAAATAAAAGCTCATCTGTGCTTCTGAAAAGAAAGACCCTCATAGATTTAAAATGCGTTGTGTGTGCATGCGTGCGTGTGTGCGTGTGTGTGTGCGCCTTTTTACTAAACAATTCCACTTCTAAGAATTTACTAAAAGGAAATAAATATTTAAACAAGTACTCAAACAACTGTGTCCCAAGATATTCATTACAGCATTTTTATAAATACTGGAAATAATTTAAGTATATATTATGTACTCAATGGGAAAGTACATAAATAAATGTGATATACTCATGTAAGACTATGGAATATTATGCATATCTTAAAACACTGATTAGGGTGTATATATACCTCACATAGTCAGGTGTCCAAGATAACATAAAAATCAGTCAGAAAAGCATGCATATACCTTTTCGTATGTTAAAAAAAATCACCATTATGTATATTCATATACCCATGTATATGCGTACATATATACATCTATGTGTATACCGGCTAGGAGGACAGAATTTGAAGTGTTAACAGTACTTATCTCTGGGCAAACAGACTGGGAAAGGGGGAAAGACCACACCCACTGATATACTGTTTTATAACAGGCATTACTGCTTTTGTAATAGTGACTTTTAAAAGTTAACAACTTTTTAAAAACACCCAAAGTACGATTATTTTCAAATCCTCCCATAGTTTCTGTAAAAAATTTAGTCATTGCCAGATAAAATATATATACCAGTTGAGGGTGGGCGGACAGTGTATGATATGAACACTTACCTTTTAATTGTTCTAGTAAAGACTTAAGACTATTCTCTATTCGCTCCTGGATCTCTGTTGTATCCTCTAAAATTGAAAAACAAAAAATGAAAACTCTTCAATTCTTTTTTTTTTTTTAGCAAGATGAAGAAGCAAAATCAATATCTGCAAGCTACTCATGGCCAAGGACATCTAAATTCCATTACTAAGAGACGGACAGACAGAGATGAAGGGACGGGGAAAGGTAAGGGGACACATTTCCAGAACAGCTTTCACCACCACCACCACCCTGCAATTTTTCCAGATGTGTTAAGTTATATTCTACTGCATTTACTATTAAGTTTTCAATGACAAAAACCCAGTCAACACAGGCATGTGAGTGTATACTTACCTAAACCATTGGTATCTAGCTCATAAATATCACTAACAAGATGGAAAGAGCTAGTCTGGCACTGAGAACAGCCAGAATTAAAGAATCCAGCCATTCTGGTAGGTACAGGACCCAGGAAAGGATACTGGAGAAGAAAGGAAAAAAGTGAGGTCCTTTAAATACATCCAAAATCATGCAAATAAGAAAACAAGATGCTTTAACTGCTGGATAAAAACCTGTCTCAGAGAGTCAGTCACGACCCTTGATGATCAGCAAAGTGGTAACTAAATAATTATGGAGAAAACAGGCAGGAATGCTGTGTTAATCTGTTAAATGCTAACAAAAATTTGCCATCACAAAAAAACTACTTTGGTTTTCATCACTATCAATTAAGGAAGCCTCTGCAATTCCCTGAGTCTACAATATCCCTCTCTTTCCTACAGATGCCATAAAATGAGACCAAATACTGTCCTTTACTATTCACCTACTCCAAACTTATTTTTTTAAGTCATAATTATTGCAGCTTTGATGATAAATACTTATTGATGATACCTGAATTTGCTTCTCAATAAATCGCTTTCCTGTATCCAGGGCCACCTCCAGATGTTGCAGGAGCAAACGCACAGTATCAATCCGGGAGGACACGCCGTTCTCGGTGGTTTTCTCCGAGTTCTTTGGCTCCACTGGGTGGTTAAGACTCGGAAGTCCACTGATCAGCCTCAATGTTAAGGAACGGATTCTTAACCACATGGTCTCCTCCTCCAAGGAAAGTTTCTTATGTTCTTCAGAAACATCCCTTAAACAGAAACATCCCCAAACCATCCATTGTATTCAATCTGCTCCCTTCGTATCTTTCAAATGTTTTGTTTTAACCAGTCAATATGCTTTTGAATGGTCCCAGCTTTCACTTACTAGCTGTATAATCCTGCACAAGCCAAAAACTTCTGAATCTCTTTTCATTATCCATAAAATGGGAATGCCCCTACCTAACAGGTCATTTTACCCATAAATGAAACTTGTTTCCCTGATGATAAAAGTAATACATGATATAAAAAAACGGAATGAAAGAAAAGTAAAAAAACAAGGCAAAAAGTAACCGGGTAACCCAAACACCTACAACATTAACAAGCTTCCTATAGTTCCTTTCAGACTTCTGCAATATGGATGTATAAAAAAAGTAACTAAAATATAACTAAAAATATTTACATAATCTAATAATTTTAAAATAAATAAAATGGGCTCACAATATTCACACTATTTTGCACACTGCACCTTTTTATGGCAAGTGTTTGCAGAAAAGTGTTACCATAGCAGGCCTGATGCTATTATCATGAGAGGGGTGTGCCAGCAAGGCTGGCCCTTGGCTCACGACTGGATGCTGGCACCCTAACCGTTCCCTAAATGTAAGAGTAGCTCACTATGCTGGATTGTTTGTACAAACAATGTAGTTTATAAGGAACACCTGCTTTCCTTTTGGGAATAGACAGAGGACGCTATATAACCAGCCAATAAAAACCTTGGGGGCACCAAGTCTCTAACAGGCCTCTGTGGGCAGAAACATTGCACGTGTGACTGCATTTTTCAATGCTGGAGAAAGCAACACGCTTGGTGTGTCCCTCACAGGAGGGAGAGCACTGGAGGCCTGGGATGGTATTCTCCAGACTCCGCCTGTGTCTTTTTTCCCCTGCTGATCCTGCCATGTATTCTTTTCACTATAAGAAACTTTCACCTTGAGTGCAACTATGTGCTGAGTCCTGTGGGCCCTTCTAGCAAATAAATGGACGTGGTCTTGGGGACCCCAAAAGACAGTACATTCAGAAATACCTCCTATATACATCTATATATGCCTATACATTTATTTCTTAGGTTTCACTTTCCTAGAACTATTGAATTAAATGTTACGTGGCATTTTCAATCTTGACACATATCACCAAAATTCCCTATAGTAAGTTGAAATAATAAAGTTTTACTCCCACATAAATGCACAACAATAACCATTTTCCCAGCACCTTTGCTGAGCACAAGTATTAATCTTTTCTGATTTGCTCCACAGGTAAAAAGAAAAAGTCTTTGCTGCTGTAAAATATATTTCTTTGTAACCTATTAGGCCCTTTTTGCCCAATTTTTTTTTTGGGGGGGGTATCTTTTTCTGATTGATTTATTAAGAGTTCTTTATATATATTAAGGGTATTAATACAGATGAAGAAATGTTTACCAATTTACCATATACCTTTAGAATTTAATAAATTTATTATTTCTATATAATGGAAGGCTATTATTTACAGAAGTCAAATCCTTTAAGTTTTCAGATTTGATGCAATGCTAAGAAACGCTTTCTCCACCCACTTAAAATATTTTCTATATTTTCTTCTAGAATTTTTAGCATATAGAATTTGTTCTCATATATGTGCTTGGAAGTAGGATGTAACTTTTAGATTAGCAAGTAGTCCCAACATAGGAGTGAGATTTTTTCCTCCCTTTGACTTACCTATGTTTTCTAGTCTCTACAACAAACATGTTGTTATACTTGAGTAAAAAAAAAAAAAAGAAATTTTTAAATCTTAAATTCACCCTAATTGTTTAAAAAAAAAAAAAAAAAGTTTTGGGTTAAATTCCAGTTACCTGTCTTTTGGATCCCAGCTGAAGAAAACATTTAAGTCTCTGTTGTCTCGCAAGTCTTCCCATGGAATGTCATCTTCTTCTGGCCTAAGATTCATTGATTTTATACTTTCTGCTAAGCTGGTTGATCTGTGATATAGAAAATTTATTTCTGTATTATTTCACTAGTAAAACAGTCATGGAAACATTATCAGCCAAGACCCTGTTTTTCTAGAAAGAGGAAGGGAGACAGGAAGGCAGGGAAGGAAGGGTTTGCTATTAAACAGAATTAAAGCTTATGTAAGGCGAACCAGAACCAATCACAGGTAATGCTGGCATGCTACACAGCACTAGAAAGGCTTCCAGCAGCTCAACCAAAGTAAACTGGATCAACATTAACTCCTGAAAGCCCATGTTTTGTACAGGATGGGAAATCTTGTGAACTCAGTATGGACTGGGGTAATGCCCATGGCCTAGATGGCTCCCGTATGGAACCTGAGACAGTACTGGCAGTACTCTATCGTTCCTCACGACGGGGACCAGGCTCTTTCCCCTTCTTCCCCTGCTCTCCTCCCTCATTCTCCTTTTTTATTCCCTTTTTCTTCATCTTGCTAATGACACTCATGGGCCCACTGGTAGCTCTCAGCATCTGATCTAATCCCTTAGTTCCTTTTTAGCTCTTATGCAATACTTACATATTTGCTTCAAGTAGAAGGTCTAATAGCATCCGTTCAGTACGGACTTGTGCAAAATGAAGAGAATTATTCAGCCTGTTCCTAAAAGCGATAAACTCTGGGATCTTCTCAAATGCACCATATTTGTAAGCTTGAATAATATATTCTGAGGTCTGGGAAGGAAAGACATCACCTTGGTATAAATATTTTCACAAGTCAGGCAATGTAAGCAAACCTTGCCGGCCAAGACAAACAAAACAAAACAAAACAAAAATTAACCCTAAGTTTAAGTAAAAGATTTTGAATCTATTCTTTAAAGGTCTTGGTCACCAAGTAGAGTATTGGCCTTTAAAAATGTGATTTTTCTTTCTTCCTATACCCAAGTCAAACTTCCCTTCACGCTTCTTCCTCACTAACATCGCTAATGATAACACCCAGCTGCTGCTACCACCACACAGATCTTCCCTTGGCAGTCATGTCTTTCAATTCAACAGGACTGGAGGGTTTTTTATGCCACGACAGTCAAAATTTGGTTAGTGCCATTTTGGAAGGGATATTACTCCATGTTTTTCTGCATCTGAGATAATCTATGCTTTAAACAAAGACTCTGAAAATACGAGAATAACATAACCACCACCCCACTCCCAACCACAATAAAAACCACTCTCTTCCAGAAAAAGACAGGCTGCGCCTTGATTTTCTTTATTTCTGAATATGTATCACAAACACAGGGTATAAGTACACTACATCAGGACAGAAGTAAGACACCAAACAAAAGACCTACAGAAACTCATGTCATGATCCACTTTGAGGACAGAAAGACTTCAAGAACCAGGTTTCTTGTCCATTCAAACTATGTAAGACCTCTGCTGAAAACTCCATGAACAAGTGAAGGAGCACTCACCATATGTGCTTAATTTCAAATTAACATATATATGCAGGTGAAATGGAGCAGTACAGAGGCAAGATAAAGAAGTCTAAACAGAAACTCTGGCACAAGAGAAGAAATTCTCAGGGAAGAACATTTCATGGGTGTGGGCCTATGCCATCAGGATCAGAAGACAGGTCAACCCTCTGGGCCAAGGAAAGTGTTAAGCTCAAAGCTGATGTCTGCCCTGAACAATGATCTTCTTTAGAAAAGCCAGTCTTTTAGCACAGCCTCAGTTACTCAGCTCTGCCCCCATCTCTGTTATGTCTAAATAACTTGCCCAGTAGGAAAATAGGCCAATAGTCAACAACATACCCTCTGATACACAGCCTCGCAGGGTTCATTTCAGGCCGCGGGATTGCGCCACGGGCGCTAATTCAACTGCATTCGATGCGGCTTTTAAACCCCCACGGGACACCTCGGCGAGCTGTTTGCCTGCAGTATCTGGAGAAATTAAAGACGGACGGACACAAGAAAATTAAAAAGATTACTTGTGATCCTGCAGGTTTAAAGAAGGACTATCTGAAAAAGCTCGAGTGTACCTTCTAGCTTGATTAAAGGACAGTGATATGCCCCATCAAGAAGAGGCCAGGATACTCTAAACACATATGCCTATCCTGTGGCCCCGTGGCTTGGGAAACATAACAAGGTTTAATATCAGCCCTTGCAACAGGAACTTACAACTTGAAAAAAACCAGCTGGTTAGGAACACATGATTAAGCAATTAATCAGGACGAACAAATGACTTTGGTGATTCCAATCAAATTTATAAATTACAACTCTAAAATATGCTAGGATGCAGGGAGAGAACCAAGCCTTCCCCAGTACAGTTTCCATTTCTGAATGATCCAGGGAATATCATGTTAGAAAAAAAGCCAATAGTTTTTAAAAGAAAAATAAGGGGCAACAAAGAAGGGATATAGTCCTTTAACAAACTAAGAAGGTAACTTTAGTTCTCTAGCTTGTCTTTTTTAATTTAGTCCTCCTTTAATGCTGCAGTGAAGTGCCACTGCCGACTAGACAAGGGTCTGGGAAGCAACCTATAGGACAAAGGCTGTGAAAGTATGAACTATCTGATGACATTACCCCCTAATGGAACTGCAGGCAAAACTGGAAGCCACAGGCACTATAAGACTTCTGAATATCAGAGTATATTATCCGTACCTATTTCTACTGGTTTATGCACCAATGAGGTGATTTAGATCCCGTACAGATTCCTGAAATGAACCCTGGTCACTGTAAAAATTAGCAGAACACATGGACATCAAACCCAGGAATAATAATTTTCATGGATACCTAAAACAGACTTTAAAGAGGGGGAAATAGTATAAACATATAAACAACTTTTGGAGCTGTGGAAATCTAGCTCTAATTCTCCTATTGTAAAAAATCTATTCCAAAGTAAGGCAACAGCAGACAATGACCTTCCAGAAATGAGCCCCTGTGTAGACCTTCCAAATATAAGTTTCAATCTCACAGCACAAAGCCTTCCAAAGGAGAATACCAGATTTTTCCCTGCAAAGATTAAAAGTGTTCTTTGAAAGAGCTAACTGGAAATGAAATACATCAGTCACCCTAGGAAAAAGCATCTGGGGAATCCCAAAAAGTACTAAGAATAAAACATGTTGGCTTTCCAGAGAGATATTTCTAACACTGTGAGCAAAAAAAAAAACCAAACCCACTGCTATCGAGTAGATTCCGACTCATAGTGACCCTACAGGACAGGTTAGAACTGCCCCATAGGGTTTCCAAGGAACGGCTGGTAGACTCGAACTGCCAACCTTTTGATTAGCAGCCATAGCTCTTAGCCACTGTGCCACCAGGGCTCCTAAGTGATAAGCAGAAGGTTTAAAGCATACCAAAAACCAAACCCTTTGCCGGCGAGTCAATTCCAACTCACAGGGACCCTACAAGACAGAGTAGAACTGCCCCATAGGGTTTCCAAGGAACGGCTGGTGGATTCAAATTGCCGACCTTTTGGTAAGCAGCCGTAGCACTTAACCACTACACCATCAGGGTTTCCTTGAAGCATACAGTACAACATTAATCGTGATCTTTCTTAGCCTTGGTTCCTTCAGGGAACAGTCCACACCACAGTCTCCACTTGCCTATTGCGGCACTGAGGCCAAGGGGCACTTTTTCTTGCTGGACTGTGTTTTGCTTTTGCTCCCAGGATCTCCCAAGATTATCTACCTTAATATGATTAAATAAGTTCTATCTTCTTAGCTAGTAGTAATAAAAATAAATTTCAAGCAGAGTCTTAAGTCTTAGAACAATAAAATGCTATAATGTTATCAAGTTCAGCATCACATATATACATTCAGATAAATTAGTCACTCCCCCCACACATACCATCAGCAAAACAACAAAGATACAGAAAGCTACTGAGGACATGCCCTCTCAAATCGCTCCTAGGGATCCAAGTCTTCATGAACAATATTGTTTTCTATAATGCTGGATGACTGAAATCTGGAGTAATACCAGCCAAGAGGCTTGAATTAATCCCATATTTACCCCCCACTACCTGAAAGCTATTTAAAGAACAAAACTTAGAAAAGGATTCTTCAGTAAAGCAAATGCTCCATTACACCATTCCTTACTAATTACAGAAACAAGAGCCAGAATAATGAGATCTAAGGAGCACTTTTCTTTTGGAATTCTGTTTTTAGTTGGTAAAAACTAATTCTCCTATTGTAAGAGAACAGAGGAGGGTAAGCACAGATACCAGAACACACAGTGAAAACTCTCAGATACATAATCAAACTCCCACTCCTGCTACGAGATTCTAGAACCCCCCATGTCCAAGAGATGCCCTTCTGACCTGGAAGCCGGGCTAGCACTTCCTGAACAATGCTCTCAGATGCTAGTGCCCGCTTCCCTCTCTCCCTGACCAGGAGCTGTGGCACAAAACGAAGTCTCAAGTGAATACTAACCATTGTGGGGCATAAGAGCTACCTGCTCAGAGTGGTTCTTTGCTACTCCAGTCCTCTAGATCATGCCCTAAAGCTTATTAACACGAGCTGAGACCAATATGTGTATATATTCCACTGTTGAGAAATGCTTTTTCCCCGCCTCTATTTAATACTCTGTAAAGAATCAGTGGGAAGATAGATTAGCCATAGCTGTCATAGTTACAAAAGGCTTTTTTTTGTTTGTTTGTTTGTTTTTAATTCTCATGAGTATTTGCCAAGAAGGACCTCAGAAACCAGCTTCATTGCCAAGAATGGAAAGCTATGGGCAGATATGTAGCATGGCCCAAATTCCAGGGGATGAGTCTTAGGAGTATATGAGAACAAAACAGGCAGAGTAACTATCCTAGAGTGCTCCTTCTCTCCACATACGTGCTCAGGTAGTTGGTATCCATAGCTGGTAGAGACTGAGGTAGAGACCAAACGGTTTTTCCCACAAAAGCCTCTGCTTAACTGACGAGTGGAGTCCAAGTCTGCTTGCAGTGAAAAATATGGCGCAAATCCCATCCTTTTATTACGGCACAGAGAAGCTCTATCTTGTTTATTGTTACTTCTAAAAACGTACTATTTAATTACCAAAATATCTTGAAATGCCCTTCAATTGTTCAATTTGATAATATTAAGAAAACATAAGTGTACTCACTGTTGGCAAACAGCACCAAAACCACAGCCAACGAGTCAATTCCGACTCATAGCGACCCTATAAGACAGAGTAGAACTGCCCCATAGGGTTTTCAAGGCTGTAAATCTTTATGGAGAAGACTGCCACATCTTTCTCCTGTGGAGCGGCTGATGACTTTGAACCACCGACCTTTCGGTTAGCAGCTGAGCACCTTAACCACTCTACCACCAGGGCTCCTTATGCAAAGAGCACAGTGGTTATAAATTTCAAAATAAATAAAGGTAACAAGGATTAGCTGCTATGGCATCCCAAGTATAAATTCTTATGGGCTATTTCTTATACTCTTGGAAATAATGTCTTAGAGCTCAAAAGACAGATCTAAGAGGCATAACACTTCCTATTCTGTTAATAGCCAGTTTTAAATGCAACTCTCCAAGGATTCCATTAAACATATCCATTCTTTTCTTTTCCTGCTCCTTTATAGTATAGTTTTTTGCTTTTTTTTAACTGCTGTAAAAATAGACATAACACTTGCCAATTCAACATTAAACACACTCGTTCTAACACAACAAATAACCTAATGGCCTACGGGCACTTGCAAGTTCAGCACAGCACACGCACCTCAACATGCGCACTTGTGGCACAAGGTCAGATGCTTTCTGGATAATGTGCACTGAGCAGGCAAGATCACAGTTAAGAAAAAAAAAAAAAGTCACTTACATCTTTCTGGTTGGAGTGGAAAAACCTGAGTGCGAAGTTACAGGATTGGGATGCAGCAGCATACTGACCTAAGGATTCGGCATATCGGGTCAAAAGATAACTAGGTGGGAAGGAAAGAAAGAAAAACACATGTTACAGTTACCCATCTCCAGCAGCAAATACTACACTTCAAATTACTATGGCAAAGAAATAGCTAGGCAAAAACTTCCTGCCATAGAAATGATCTAATCCACAGAATCGAATTAATTTAAAAAAGAGAGAGAGAGAGTGTGCACGCAAAGTTAACCCAGCTTTGTGGGAGACCTGAAGTTCTATGCCATGCTTTCTTAAATTTTGATGGTTGATGGAATATAAATTATAAGAGAACATAATGCTGTCTTCCTGAAACAGTACCACAGAGTATAGAGAAAATGCCCTTAATTCATCACAAAGAGTAGTCAAAATATAAATTCAAAAGGATCTCTGAGGTCAACAAAATAAAACACGTGTCAACCTCAAGTGCAAGGCAGAAGTAAAGACTTCAAAATATGCAATGCTGAGAACAAGGACTCAGAGTATAAAGCCGTCTCCTGTTTCTGGGTGAAACTTTCTTACCATTTCTAAATTGTAAAAATTTAAAAATTCCCACAAAATGCTGGGAGACATAAACTCTTTTTGTTTTGAAATGGGTCATGATAGGCGATTGTTTAATCTAAAAAGATTAATGCCAGGAACACTTTTACTGCTAAGATCTGAAAGTTAAGGCTCCGTATATGAGGACCCGCACACTGGTGGGGCAGCTGCCCATTATTCAGAGTATATACTACCAACCCAATTGTGTCATGCTGTATGTGCTTAGCATCAAGGCTGGAGTAAAGATCCACCACCGGTTCAAATGCACCCAGTGTACAGTAGATTCGAACAAGCAGCAATTTGAATTGAGCATTGGAAGGGCTATGGGTTAATCCTTCCTCCAGCAAAGTCAGGGCCTGCCACACAGCGGTCTCGTCACCTAGAACCAAAATATAACAGCGTTATCCACACATCTTAACAGCAAAATGGACAGTAAGCTATGTTTTCCCATGTTCGCAACAACAACAACAAAAACAAAAACTGACTGACATCATTGCTTCCTCTGACTATTCTACGAATGAGGTTAGAAAGCACAGCACAAACTTTTGGTACACACCTGTAACCAAATTAGGGAATTTTCCTAAACAGATACTGCTTCAATGTTAACCTCAGCTCTTAAACACACCCTCTGCAAAAATGATGCAAACTTTAAGCTGCCCAGGTTTCATGGAGGGAAGTTATGGAATCACACTAACTCCCAGTTTCTGGGAAGAGATGAACTTTGAAGGAGAAGTGGGGTCCACCAACCTTTCCACTAAAAATTTCTCTGCAACACCCCAGATGGATGTTCTCTCTAGATACCATTTTTTTTCCATATCTAACTCTATTAACAGGATGCCAAATACGATATTTTTAAAAATTGCTCATTAATAATTAGACAAACTAAAATGATACTTTGTTTACCAAATTAACACATACATACACACAGAAGAGCATAAACTAGTATAAAGAGTTGATCTCAATTCTATAAAACATGCACAGAGAAAGAGACGAGAATATTCAAAAATGTTAGGGTGTCTCTTCAGAGTCTAGAAAGCTGAGACTGTCAATAAACTGCTTTCCAAAATTTTTACACCCTACTTTTACAGTCAGAAAAATAGCTAAAATAAAAACTCTACGAAATGGGCTTTTAAAATTATATTCTATTTCCAATGCACATGGAACGTTCGCCAGAACAGACCACATCTTAGGCCACAGAACAATCCTCAACAAGATCCAAAACGTTGAGATAATTCAAAGTATCTTCTCTGACCACAATGCCATCAAGGTAGAAATTAACAATAGAAAGA